CTTTGAAAAGCTTGAAGTCTGGCGATTCTAAAAATATATACTTTCCTGGGTCTATTTGTAGTCATTTGGTCACAATTAGAAGATGAAAAAAAGTATGCAAATAATAGTCCCGCTACCTTAAACTACTGTAAAATATTTTATTTTCACTGGAATTAATTTTCGCTATATAGACTTTTTGAGTGTTTTGTATGGATTTTATTTTCACTGATTTTTGACGAGTTGAATGTAAAATATAAGAATAAAGGTATATTAGCTGGATTTTATTTTCACTGAATTAATTCCAAATGAAAATAAAGTATTCCACAGTATATAACTGACAAATGACATTCCATAAATGTGTTCTATTTGCACCCAAATGATATACATATGTGTCTAATCTGCTCATTGTACACATTTTCTGTCACTTAAAATATTTAAAAACAAATGTGTTGAGCAACTAAACGATAAATGAAATAAAGCCTTAATATATAAGCTTGACAATTGATATGGATCATGTTAATCATATTTTGAATCACACATCTCCTGGAAGCAATGTGTATAAAATCCTAACAGTTATTGAAGTTCAAACCAATTATATAAATATGTGTACAGCTGACCCTCAATTATTCAAAAATCAATATTATTTCATTTGTACATCACGTGATCAATCATTCAAACAATTAAAGCCAAGAATTCAAATGACTACATGTGCCAAAAATGTAACAGAGAAAATACAAACTTACAAATAAGCAAACTGGGCCAAAATAAAAAAAAATGCATTGTAAAATAAAGTTGAATAAAGATTGACAAGAAAAACACAACAAATTGCTCACTTACTTCTTCATATGCATTGACATGAATATATGCTAAAAGATGTTTCTGTAATGATGCTAATAATTCACGTAAGTGAGAAGGAGGAGCATCATCTTCACAGGAAATTGAACTTGGGTCTTTATCGCTATTCTTTTCAAGTTCACCAAATGCTTGTTCCTGTAGAAAAAACAAGTTAGTATTTTAAATGTAAATACATGTATCTTACAGTGTTCACTAAATTATTATGTCATGAGATAGCAACGATGACAGCAACACAATGACAGATCCAAATTCCCATGTAAATGTTTGTTGCCTGTGAGGGCCTTAATTTGCTAGCATAATACACACTAAAATGTACAAGCAACGATCTGATATAGATTATGTAGTATTCTACTATGGCAATATATAGCTAAAACCAACTTAGGTTACAAGAAATCGATGAAACACTTGAGAATGAATATGTTCCCCTTCTGTAAGGCACTATAAACTACTTTATTCAAGCAGGAATTTATTTAGCTGAAAACACAAAATTGAATTCACATGGAAATAATTTCTTTTCATTGATTTATACTGTATAATTAAATCCACACATGAACTAAAGGATCAACCATCATCTGGTCAAGTCAAATTACATAAGGCTAACAGAATATGGGTAAACAATACACCTCAAGTGAGTACATCCATGAATCAGGCCTAACCTAAATGTACCAGCTTCAATTAAAGAACACTGCGACTAGGAAAACGAAATGCAGATGTTACATGTAGAAGGACAGACAGGTAAAAACTATAAAACAATAATACATGAGCAATAATCTTACAGTATGAAAGCCCAGATTTCTAAGCAATGTTTTCATTAAGACTTCAGCAAGATGCATGTCTTGTTGACTTGTAGTAGGCTGACTAGTACGTGGTTCAAGATCCATATCCAGAGGGCATGAGAATCCCAGAAGTGAAGCTACATGAGTATTATCTTGTAGACTGGTTAGAATTATACCTAACTGCATTCTCTGTAATATAAACACATAATTCATTGCAAGTTGTCAATTCATTGGGTTGAATGGTACGACAAATGTATGTAAAAGCAATAAATGTTAAATTTAATTACAGCTAAATATAATATCCAAATACTGTAAAACTATTTACTGGTACTATACTATTTATTTTCACTATTTTGATGTTTTCTGGATTTTAAGTTCACAAACAATGAGTGAAACAATGAGTTTTATTGTTATTCTACAAGTTCACATGGACAAAAACAGTGAAATTAAAAACCGGCAAATAATTAATGTATTCACAGTAAATGCATTTGATTGAGGTATAAATGTATCTAGGGTCAAAATGATCATATTTTAATGATCCAGTATATGTTAAATAGAATTTTCAGTTTACATTTATTTGCACGTCTGCTAATGCACTGCTAATACAGCATACTGTATAAAGTATTTTCTTAAAGATAGCCAACACACTTTTGGGACAGGAATTTCCTGCAACTCTACTAAAGTGGCCTCTGTGATTTATTGTTTTAAATTCTGAAAAAAAGACTTGGTGTCCCAGAACTAGTCTTTGAATTATGAACCACAATTTTACACATTTTGTCAATTTACTAATCCAAAATGGCTGCCAAAGTAGGGTTTAACGCTATACGACAATAAAAAAGTAATTTTTTTGTGGAAACAAGTTTGGACACCCTCAGTGTTTATTTACTTCCTGTTATTTATTTGATGGAATCTTTCACTCACCAAAATATCATGTATTTGTGTTCCAAATTTATTACTTTTAAAAGAACTAGCAGCCTGTCGGCTGAGATAGCTCCGCTGTTAGCAATGCACATTTCAATTAAAGAACAGAAGATATCATCAGAAAATGAACAATATGTAAAGTATCAGACTTGCTGTTTTCAACAAAAATTCGAAAATATAACTTTTTATCAAAAATATTCATTAAATTGATAATTGAACAAAATCATCACGAAATGAACAAATCTGAGAGAGGTCTACCTGTAGTACCTATATATGTAATATCAAAGCAATTAAACTTGTGGTTTTTAACAATAAGTCGAAAATATCACTTTTTACCAAAAATGACAAAAATATTCATGAAAATTAGAGAATTGAAGATATCATCACGAAATGAACAAATCTGAGAGAGGTCCACATGTAGTATCTAATTATGTAATATCAAAGCAATTGGACTTGCGGTTTTTAACAAGAAGTCGAAAATATCACTTTTTACCAAAAATTACAAAAATATTCATTTCGAAGCGAATTATTTCGGTCACATGTACAAGTAAACAATCGATACGATATACGACATCCGCCATGTAGTTTGAATGCACACGAGACGTTACTTGACAGGATAGGTCAAGTCGCCAATTAACCAATCAAAATGCTGGATGGTGCCCACGTGTTCAAATTACCTTAGTTCATTTAAATACGTTAATGACAGGTCACTGACTTCATGGTGAACGAAACACGGAAGGGATTTACCGATAATGTAGTGCGATCTTTTGACTTTGATTTCCATGGGAAAATGACATGACTTTTTTTTTAAATCAAGAAATTAGTTGTTTTCGAAAGATAAACTGAGCATTGAAAAAGAATTTAACAGGTTTTCGGTGATAACAGCTCATTGTCGAAAACTTGCGACACACGGACGTATTCATAAGGAGTATTGACAAAAGTTGTCGCAAGAACAAAGCAGTTTCACTGCGTGTTTGACATCCTAACACTACTGAACAATAAAGAGGTGTGAATATTTTTAGGCACGTTGTCAAAACAAATGAATAGGATTAGGAACAATGTACCAGCTGGTTGAAACAAAGTCAGTCACGGTCTTGTTCAATTGGGGGTGCGGTTAGTAATAGGTACTTTTCATGTTTTCAATTTTCAACTCTTTAACACTGAAGCCGAATTCGGGGGTGCGGTTACTATATGGTATGCGGTTTATAATAGGATTTTAACGGTACCTACATATGTAATACCAAAGCAATCGGACTTGCGGTTTTCAACAAGAAATCGAAAATATCACTTTTTACCAAAAATGACAAAAATATTTATCAAATCTAGAGAATTAAAGATATCATCACAAAATGAACAAATCTGAGAGAGGCCCACCCAAGGTACCTACATACCAAGTATCAAAGCATTTGGGCTAGCGGTTTTCAAGAAGAAGTCGAAAATAGCATTTTTGACCAAAAATTACAAAAATATTCGCTATAAATAGGACAATTGAACATATCCACACGAAATGAACAAATCTGAGATAGAACCACCCAAGGTACCTTCCTAGAAAGTTTCACAGCTATACAGTTTTTAAGAAGAAGTCGAAAATGTAAAGTTGACGACGGCGACGACGACTGAGGACAGTCAGTAATACTATAAGCTCCGCTCGACTTCGTCGACAGCTAAAAAGCAAATATTGAACATATTCTTACCTGTCCTTTGGATAAGCCATCCCACCTATCAGGTCCTTGTGGCAATAATGAATGTAGTAATTCCATCCTCTCTCGCAATGGTGGAAGTAATAATGGAGCACCAACTGATAATGTTTCACTGACAGCCTGACAAATACAATAGGTGAAATTTAGAATCAAATAAGTCATCTTACAAATCATATTTAATGTTAGTGGTATGTGAGGCAGTGTTTATTAAACCAGGAAAGAATTTGACAGGCTTTTGTCCAAGACACAATTTATCAATATGTAAATGGAAGGCCACACAGACATAATCAGTAGTGGCATCTTGAGAGGGGAAAATGTTGTACTCATACCTCTGTAATAGTGATATATACATATATATACAAGTAGAGAAGGTGATGAGCAAACATTGATATGACCACTGTTCCTTCACTCAGCATGGTAGTCTTAGAAATAGGTGATGAGAACCATAAATACATTGCGTTTTTTTTTCACAGAATTTGAACACATGATGAATGATTACATTAAATGTAGATACTCCTCACCTGTTGGACAGATTCTGGTGTATTTGAGTCCATTAATCTGAAGAGTAAATGTCTGAGTGGTCCAGATTGAGTGCCTAGAATAGTTGCAGCAACACCACCAGCTAGGGCAAGTTGTAAATGAGTACAAAGAAGTCGAAGACAAAGTAGTACAAAATGATGATGTTCTCTGTAAATACAAAACAGTCGTTTTTGTTGAAATTTACCAGCATTTAGTAGTATGATAATCACATTATTATTGGGGTATTATAAAATTAGATTTTAATGATAATTTAGATGAGACAAGAGCACCTGGAAAGGATTTGTATCCAGCAAGGTAATTTAATAAGCAGATTCGATTCCAGCTTTCTAAGTGGTATACAAACTTACCTAGCAGTAGGGAATGGCTGGGGTGGTGTTGGACTATCAAATCCATCACAATAACGTTCTAGAAATGTTCTTAAATGTGAAAATGTGCCTTCTTGAAGATCAACACAGAATGGTCGATGCCATGCTACAACTTGTCTGTGAACAAAAAACAAACAAATTTAGAATACATGAAGGAAGCGGTGACAGACAAAATAATAATAAATATTTTAAACGTTATTGATTAAAGTAAACAAACTTTCAGAGCTGAAATATATCATGTTGTGACTAGATCACATCCAAATTTGTGAGCAACTGACAAAAAAAGTGTATTTCAGATGTTTCCAGTCAAAATACATTGCTGGAATTTACCCTGTAAATGTATAATGAAAAAAAAATAGTGTCTAACACTAACCTATCAGTTGGTAAAGCAGTCCATGCAATACTGTGTGATGTACCTGCAGATATCTGATTCACATTTATTCCATCTAAGCCAAGTACTTTCTTTGGTCTTGTAATAGGACTAGTAGTATGGGCCTGACCACACTGTCCCATGGCATTATTACCCCATGCATATACTTCATTGTCTGTGAATAGAAATCACAGATACATGTATTATTAAATTCTACATTTCAAAGAATTCTGAGCCACAAAAGTTAAAGGTAATCCCAACCTCAACTATATGATACATACACCTTTGTCAAAGCAATTTTAAGAAATTAATGTAAATTGTTATTTGCCGGAATACTGTAGAAGAAAAAATACTCACTAGGTTTAATTTTAGTAGATTTGATGTTGCAGCGATATTCACTAGGTTTTAAATTCACTGGTTTGTGAAGGAAACAATACATTCTATTCTTAAACTTCAATATTCAATGGGTTTAATTTTAATTTAGCTATCAGTGAAATTAGCAAAAATAAACCCTAAGCACTATACAGTAATACATGTACACCACAAATACTTTCATAATACCTACTACAAGTATAGTACTAGTATATATCGTTTATAACAATTATAAAAACAAATATTACCATGGCTAAGTGCAAGGCAGTGACTGTCTCCACAAGCTATATCCACAATTCTGGTAGACTGAAGGTCTTCAATGAGTTTAGGTCTGAGAGCTGTAGACTCTGATGACCCACTACCTAGACATGCACCACAACCCCAAGCATATACCTACAGTAAACAAAACAAACTGTACTGTTACACATGCAATGCCAAAAAAGTGTGAAATATACTGCAAAAAGCATTGAAATAGCTACATGCCATTTTAGCAAATTTGAACCAATGTATGAATTAACTGAAACTTAATTTAATAGCTAAAGTGTCAATAATCTTGTTGTAAGAATATGTTTACCTTAACATTATTAGTACATATACTATACAAATGAACTACATAAATTACCACACCACTGTTCATATAAGGATACATTTGTATTTAATTTAAGCTATAAAGATTTTATTTTCACTTCACTCGCTATTTTTGCGACATGTATAGAGATAAATAGCGAAAATAAAATCCACTGAAAATACTTGTTTTTCTTATGATTTATATAATGAATCAGTAACAATATTTACGAGTAAATCTAATACTGTATTTACTTTATTAGTAGAGCATTTGCTTACATAAATGATAGAAAGGGGTCTATGAATGGATGATTAAAACAAATATTAATGATCAAGCCGTCAGTAATGTAATTTGTAGTTGTTCTAATAGAGCAAACTTTAGGTTTCCAGCAAAAATTAAATTCCAGCTGAAATATGTCATTCACTGAATGACACTGCACAGAGGATATTGCAAAATCACTTGAATTACATCAAGTGAATATTAGCCCTAGCAGAAATACATCTTACCTGTCCAGTGGATGTCAGAGCTAATGTGGACTGACTCCCACAGCAAACTTTTCTCAAATATAAACCAATCAATGCTTCAACAACTTTTGGTTTATACACTCTATTAGTGTCTCCATGACCAAGTTTACCTACAGAGATAATAAATATAATATCAAAGTATATGAACAAACATTTCCAGTACACATACCGTACTCGACTGCATTAGCGCCCAGGGGCCTCAACTCAGAAAATCTTGATTTTTTAGGGGTGGGCGCTTACCCGAGCACCCCCCTCGAAAAAGAGTGCAAATGAAAAATTTGATTCATCAAGTGACAGATTACGTCTTTGAGGGAAATTAAATTACGAAATTAGTTGAGTCGTCATTGATTTTCAAAATGAAGAAACTGAAATGATCACAAAAAATATGCACATTTTATTACAATATTAATTACGTACCACCAGAATTTACGAAATTAAAAACATTTGAGTCTGTTGGAACAAAGTCAAAATTGTCATATTATCTCCACTGACGAAGGTGTTGGATCGTACGCAAACTCTGGATGAAAATTACTTTCCGCCATGATGCATTTGCAGATTTCACCTGCAGCGGCGTCCTTTGACCTAATGGGTCAAGTTGGTTATTAACCAATCACAATGCTGTTTTGTACTGACGCTATTCTTCGGAAATTCTCGAAGACTTTCCGGTAACGCAATGCGGAATTGAATTATCGATGTCGAAGTACGATCTGTTGGAATTGATTTCAGCGAATAAACGACATAGTTTTTCCAAAAAACTAGTAACTAGCCATTTTTGAGAGGTAAACTGTATATGGCATGAAATATTTACTGCATTTTACTTGTATTAACAGGTCATTGTCGAAGCATAGTTTACGCACGGTTACCGTGTTCTACACATTCACAACATGTTCACAGCGATCGATATCCACGCTGTATCATATAATAATGATTACCAAGATTCGTTACGCAAGACAAAGTTTTAAATTAGTTGCATTTTGAAGGGGTGGGCGCTTTGCCGAATGTGACCCCAAATATAAAAATTGTGCAAAAGTGGGGGGTGGGCGCTTGCCCGGGCATGGGCGCTAACGCGGTCGAGTATGGTAATATCTTTTCTGGAGACCAAAACTGTTGTGTCCTTACTTCACAAAAACTAGCAAAAGTGGTTAATTTACATGAACTTAAATCATCACAATCGCTGTCAAGTGCTCAATCAAATTTTGTAAAAACAAACATTATTTTACACATGTTGTATATATCACATAACATCCATATCGAATATAGCACGATGGTATTTTGATATCATGTTAACCATGTATGTGTGTATAGCATGACTTCCCATAGTTAACAGTCCACAGGACTTGTTTTCGCCACCAAATATATATATACCAATCCATTCTCTGCCACTATTACATTCACTGTTCAAATACCATGGTTACATGAGTATGCAAACACAGAAACGAATGGAACACTATTGTGGGGGGGGACAGTAACAAGTTTGGAGGTTCTCTTACTTTCAACAAGATCTTAAGGGTGACAATTTGAGACTGGGGTCAGAGTGAAGTGACAGGAAATGTGTGATGTTACATACCATTATCACCGCCACCAAATGACCAAACTGTTCTACCATCTTGAGATACAGCTACTGTATGGGAACTCCCACAAGACACTTGACCAACGTTACTGATATCTTTAACCAATGTTGGTAAACTTTTACTATTACTATCACCATGACCTATTGAAAGAGACAATATAAATTATAATCATCGCATACTGTAAAAAACAAGTCATTGTCAATGACACATCCCCGTTCCATTCATATTTGAGTGACATATACATTCAAAGCAGATCATGACCGAAATGCACCTGCATATGTACAACACATTGTACTAAATCTGAACAAAATCCATCCATGCATGACTGAGATCTGGTTCTGGAATTGTGAAAATACGTGATTTTAATGCATTCTCGGTCTTAAAATGGCCATCATTCAGCTATTGTTAAGCGGATCATGAAACAAATGCACATATCTATTTGTGACATGATGTACCATGTGTGTGTGAAGTTTGAACTTGATCAATCCAGACATGTCTTGGATACGGATCCAGAACTGAATTCTTTAAGAAAATGGCCGCCAGTCGGCCATTTCGAACTTGATCCGGGAAAAAAAATGACGTGCATCAAGGTCCTATCAT